GGCCTGTCCTGGCCACACCATTTTTATTTTTATTTTGTAGCACGCCATCTTTCTGTTCGCCGGAAACAGGTGAGGTCGTCGTTTGTCTCGCGTCGAGGCGACGGAAGGCAGCGCCGCGGCGGCTCATGGCGGCTGATGTTTCCTGATCCGGCCATTCGGGTCAAGGTTCCGTCGTCAAGGGCAGGGGTCAATGGTGAAAGAGGGGCAGAGGTCAATGACGTGGTCCGTGCGATCGAGGAGTGCGGACATAGCTCGTGGCGTCATTGGACGTGCACGTGAAGGTTTAGCGATCGAGATCGGCGGTGTCTTCAGCTTCCTCGTGGCATGTCTTGTCCTATTTTTGTCTGCAGAGTGTCCTAATCATCCACAGTGAGGTGTGGCCCTGTTTACATATACCTGAAATGATTATTGTTGGAGCAAACAAAGGTAGCTAAACATTATCACTTCGTTAACAACTTATTACAGCAACACCAACCGGCCGATCCAAACAGGCGGTGATTTTGTCCGTTTGGTTCGGCCCGATGGACACCCATGTCCGCATTCGCATTTGGATTGGCGCCTGTGCCCAGCGGTGGCCCGACCCATTTTTTAGTTCACGCGAAAAAAACACCACCGATATTTTGAAAATAAAAAATATTAATTAAACATTAATGTCGACCACAAAGGTCGGCGAGAGTGCATGAGTCCACTTTACATTAAGTAAAAACATTTAATAAAACTAAAAACTAGAAGGAGGCACGCTGTCCTAGGCATCCTCCTCGTCGTCGTCGGGGCCAGTGAGGTCGATGATTGTCGGCGCCGGGCCAGCCCAGGGGAACGCCGTCTCCCGGGCTATGGTGACGTCCTCCGCCGCCGGCTGGGCTGCCCCACCCCGGGCACGGCGCTCCTCCTTCGAATCGTGCTCCAACTGCTCAAGCGGCTCGCCCTCGCGGGGCTCCTCTGCTAGCCTGCACCGCCGCCATTGCTCCAGGTAGATCTGCTCATGCGTCGGCGTCGCCCCGAGCCAGATGGGGGGTGCGCTGACCAACTCGCGCACGTACCCGTGCAATGTGTAGTGCTCGGTCTTGACGGGGGTCGACGGTGGCTCGGTCTTGACGGGGGATGGCCGCATCAGTGGCGGCACGACGCAGTCGCCGACAACGGAGAGCGCCATGGCCTCCGACAGCCGCACCTGGTACGCCTCCTCCTCCTCCTCCTTGTGCCGCTCCTCCTCCTCGCTTTCACAGAGGGCAGCCGCCAGAGCCGCCTGGTAGGCGGCCTCCGCCTCCTGGTCCTTGTCGTGCATGACGAGGGGCGGCGGGGTGCCAGCCACCACGTTGCGGACACCGCGCCGACGATGCTCCTCGTGCTCCAACGCGAACCAGACCTCCCAATCGGGAGAGTCTGATGCGTTGGCGGGGTTGAGGCACTGCTCCGGCGACAGCTGCTGCCAATGGTGCCGCACCTCCTCTGCGTGCACCCGCGCCGACCACGGCACCGCTGGCACTAGGATCCTCTCCGGATCCAAGTGCCAGTCATGTGACAGCATGATGTCGGGATAGGGGAGGTGATGCGGAGCATCCCAAGGTCATCCCCATGGACCTACCTTCGACTCCCATGACACCACTTGGACCAATGACAAGAGCTCAGCAAAGGCTATCGAAGATAAGGTGAACTCGCTCCTCTCCAAACTTCCATTTTCTATTTATAAGACAATGGCTACTACCTCATGCAGAGACCCTATGTGTGATCAGGTATTGGGAGGAAAGCCACGGATCAGCTACACCCAATGGACAAGATGCGAGGACACCAAGTTCAATGGACAAGAAGAAGGACTGCTCGAAACTCCCAGTCATCGGACGACCGACGTCTCTCAGACGTCCGATGCCTGGAGGCTCCAACTGACCAGCCAAGTCCTAGCCCGTGCTCGCTCCAGAGCATCGGACGTCCGACCATGACCGGACGTTCGGACCCTCGCGAGCCATCGGACGACCGGTGACCATCGGACGCCCGACACCTATGTGACCACCCGCGTGTTGGGCCGATGCCCACTTACCCTTTCGTCCACTAAGACTATATATAGACCTCCTCCTCCCTCTTTCTAGGGTTAGCAATGGTTTAGCTCATTTGTGAGATAGAGCTTTGCTCATCCATCCGGATCTACTCCTCCGAGAGAGACCGTTCCCTCTTCGAAGAAGATCCACTTTGGATTCAAGACCCCTTCATGGGAAGACCCCTCAAGACCTCCTCATGGAGATGAACTAGTTGCCACTTGTATCGTCCCTTGTTGGATTCGGATCGTGTATCTCTCTGTGTTTCGAGGATCTAGCACATGTGTAATCGAATCTTGTTGGTTTGAGTGATTTCTCTCCTTGTGTTTTCCCCTCGTGTTCTTCGTGTTCTTGGTAGGATCCCCTCCAATCGTGACAAATCGGGCATCTAGGGTTCCACCCTACATCATCTTTGGTATCACGAGCCTTGGTTGATCATGAATTTGGAGCCCCTACCCTTGTTTCTAGCCTAGTTTTGTTGTGTTCTTCCCCAGTTTCAAAAGTTTCCACCGAAATAGCCCCCCTCCCCAAATTGTGATTTGTTGGTGTGATGAAGTTTTGTTGGATTTGATGCGTGGATTTGCTTTGCCTCACGTGGATCTAGCTTTCTCCCACCATCTCCACCTTTTGCATCCACAAAATCGCTCACTTTTGCCCAATTTTTGCTTCCACATCTCGAAATCCCGAGTTCATCCCGTGCCCAAAATCGCCCAGGCACCGGACGTCCGACGAACATCGGTTGTCCGACCAGCATCGGTCGTCCGACCTTACCTGACGAAACTGAATATTTTCAGTTCGGTTTCCCCCACCGTTCCACCGCCACTTTCGCATACGCACTCCATTACCACCATTCCGCATATGCACTTGCATGCCACCATCGCTTTCCACATCCACCATCGCTTACCCATTTCGCACTCCGACAAATTTTGACACATTTGGTCTTTGAGAATTTGAGTTGTGGTTCATCGTTTCCTAGGGTGTTTCAGCTAACTAGGAATGGTTCGACATCGACATCACCGCCGCTCATCTTTGTCAAGGACTCGACATCAACCACTTCACCATTTTGACACCTCCACCGTAAGCAAGAAACGGTAACCTCATCATGATCTTGATATTGAGATACATCATCATTCTTGACATTGCATTGATAACCACCATAGCCCATTTTGCATACCTTGCCTATCGATACTTGCCTTTCAGTATTGTCGGCAACGTTACTTGTGCACATTAGTGATCATACTTCCCATAGCATACATACCATATCACCGTGGTGCATATCTTGGTATCATCTTTTGTGTCACAAAGTTGTCGTCACATACACAATTGCTATCTTGGTTCGTGAAGTTTTGCATGAGAAAGAGCTCAAAAGAGAAAGAGCCAAAAAAGCTTTTAAGCAAAAGGAAAAGATAAGCAAAGAGCTTTTAAGCAAGAACCATAGCATCATACAACATTAAGATTGCCATACTCGGTCATCTTGGATCATATCATCGGAATACCATACATATAACATACTTGGGATAGAAGTCGTTGCATTTTTGCTTAGTAGGTTGTGCACAAGTCTCGTATCCACCTATTGTGCAATCATGCTAGCATCTCTCTAGAGTTGTGCAACAAGAGAATTTTTCATGGATCCCACATTTTGAGCTCATTTTTGGTTGCACAACCCCATTTATCTATTTGCGTGTGTGTTTTCGTGTACCACTACTTGCTTGGTCTACTTGTTTCATTTGCAAATTGCGAATCTTTTCCAACATTATTGAGTCTCACTAACAATTGCATCAAATTTTGTGCCACCATCCTAACCGAGCTCCACTATAAGATTTACTTGTGTAGGTGTGAGAACCGACAAGAATTGGTACCAATTGTGCTATCTCCTTGTTACACATTTGAGTGATCATTGATCCATCTTCAACATCGGTCAAGGTACATTTGGTATAAGTTCTTCTCCTTCTCCAACTCACATATTTGCTTGGAATGATGGATAGGCCAAGTTCTTCTACCAACCCACTCTTCATCGAGCAAGACGACGACCTGACCTCCTACGTCACCAAGAGCCACCTCTTCGGTGCACAACGAGCTTTGCATCAAGAACAACAAGCAATGAACAACCGCATCGACAATCTCGCCACTGACTTGCGACTCTTCGAGCAACGAACAAGAGACTACTTAGACAACAAGCTCGACGCACAAAAACAAGAGAACGATGCAAGAATGGATGAGATTCGTGCCTTGTTTGGTAAACCGCTCTTCTACCACTTCGTCCTA